ACAGGATATTATAGCAGATATATACAGGGTGGATTTTTTAATCTTGAGACAATGAAATAACTTAACTGGATCTCATTATTTTGAAAAAAGGTATAGACTAAAGTTGTAGGGTATCGAGGGGCCAATCAATTAGTGATTAAAGATGTGACCTTGACTTTCAAGGTCATTTGGAGGTCAAGTCTGTTTTTTCAATGGGAACACACATTTTTTACCCCGGAAATGGAAAGAGCAGGAAATTTCACAACGGATGTATCTTTGACCTTACTGTCTAGGTCAAAGGTCAAGATTATTTTAAGGTTAAAATTATAAGCTTTTTCTAATGGGAAACCATACTTTTTATTACTGGAATAGGCAGGGAAGTAAAAGTTACATTTTTTCATGACCTTATTACTTTGAACTTTAAAAGCATTCACTACTTTTAGCACTACCAAGGAGTAACGATGTGGATGTAGTAGTTTTCTGCTCCCTTTGAGGTGCTTATTTTCAGTGAATCTCCTTGGTTCAGGGAATTAAAGTGACTCACCGACAACAAGCATCACTATCGTGGTGCTTGTTGTCGGTGAGTCACTTTAATTCTTACCATTGTTTGAGATGTTGGTTTTGGGAGAAAATTTTATAACAAATGTTCAAAATGATGCCCTTCCACTTTAATGCATTTATTGAGCCATGCTTACAATTATCACGCTTGAGATGACTTTCAGGTGGTCAAATTTGGTGTACTCAAGGTCATGGCTGATTGTGAAATTTCCAGTTGTTTCCACGTAAATGTAATTTTTACCTCCCTGCCTATTCCAGTAATAAAAAGTATGGTTTCCCATTAGAAAAAGCTTATAATTTTAACCTTAAAATAATCTTGACCTTTGACCTAGAAAATAAGGTCAAAGATACATCCAGTTGTGAAATTTCCTGCTCTTTCCATTTCTGGGGTCAAAAATGTGTGTTCCCATTGAAAAAACAGACTTGACCTCCAAATGACCTTGATAGTCAAGGTCACATCTTTAATCACCAATTGATTGGCCCCTTGATACCCTACAACTTTTGTCTATACCTTTTTCCAAACTAATGAGATCCAATTAAGTTATTTCAATGTCTCAAGATAAAAAAATACACCTTTGTATGTATGTATGTATGTATGTATGTATGTATGTATGTATGTATGTATAAAACTCATTATCTGGATATCTTAATAAAACTAGATAGAATTTATATTACAAAAATTGTTTAAAAAAATTATTGTTAGTAGACATTGCTTAATGCATCATTAATTTATTTGCATATAATTATTATTTGTTATTACTCTACACTCAATATTCTTACATATATATCTATATTTGTTTGAATATTTCAAAACTAACACATGTTCTATTTATGTTAAGTTAAAAAGTATTTGTATTCTATTCATCTAAAATTTGTGTTTCATAAGATGTTTGTTAATGTATAGGAGTTGAAGATGACTTGAGACAAGTCAAAAGCATTTCTCAAATAAAAGGCTTTGGCGTTAAATAAAATTAAAAAAAATATTTTAATCTTGCAAGCGCTTTCAACGTAAATATGTATGTCGTCTTCAGGCAATTCAAATTGAATTCGATTTGAACTGCCTCATAGTCTGAAGTTTCTTAATGAAGTTTTTGATTAAGTTAACTGTTGGCGTGACATCTGAACCGAGTATTTAATACACCTAAAAAGGCTTTGGTTCCTTTAATTATCAGTCATATGAATTTTTGTTAAAGTGATGCCAACTTTTTAAATTATTATGATATGCAAATATGTAAGTTATCAGACATTTCTTTATTTAATGGTAAGAAAATAATAGTAAAGATTAAAAAAAAAATAAAATACAGTAAATTAAACTGGTTTAATGAAACTGTAATCACTGACAGAAGAGTTTGTAAGTTAGAGATAAAGTTTACTTAACTTAGGGTAGTGCCATTTGTTCTAATACTGTTGTATTAAAACAAATGGCACTATCCCTAGCAAACACAAGAGTAATAAAACAAAGAAAAGGGATATTATGTAATTGTAGAATGGCAATTTCAATTGTATTGAATAATTAGAATATTTTCTCAAATATCAGTTAGAGCTTGTATCAAATATTTTGTCTCAAATTTAAAAAAATATGAAAGAAAATGGCATATATTGGTACTTGTATCATGCCGTTATTTAATTTTCCTAGAACTTTGTGTAATAATTATATTAAGCTGTCATTATTAATTCCTTATTTAAGAAAGAATAAAAAATTACAGAATCAACTGTTAATAAGAATTGAATTATTTAATCTCATTTTTAATATGTAATTTATAAATTTACATATGTAATTTATAAAAAAATTATATCTTAGAAAATAGACAAAATTTCAATGAATCAGAATGAAAGCAACATAAAAATTTAAACTTACAGTAATTATCAAGTGTTTTGGAATAATTCAAAATCTTTAAGATAGTAATCTCAGAATAACTGAACAAATAATTCTAATCAAACTTAAATTTGCAAATACTCTACATTAATTTTTGTTTCTATGAAAAAATATCATCTTTTTAATTTCTACAAAGCATTGCAAAAAAACTATAAAAATACATACTGTAAAAAAAATGGTAATGTAAAAAATAATTTTATATGAATGTTTGTATCTGCCAAACATAGCATAACAACAACTAGAACCTGTTATTATTTCAGTGTAAAAATCAAATACTAAAAGTTGTTAAATATTTTAATATTAAGTTGATGCAAAAGTTTTTGAATTTTCTAGACCTCACCATAATATTTGAAATTGTTCTCCAATAGATGGCATCTAGAAGTTTCTTGCAGGGTATGTAAATGAGGTGCATCATAAGTGAAAAGATATCCTGTATGGCAACACCAACATTTTAAATACATCAAGTTTGTCACTGTTTTCTCATGACTAAATTCACACATTTTACTATTATCAATTTGGTATAAAAGTAGCCAAATTTTATTGCCATGTAGTGCAATCATTTGGCAAGAATGTTGTCTCCAAGTCTATCTGTCCTATTGAATGGCAAACTGTGGAAGCTAAAGTTAACCCACATGACAAATGAGCAGGAAACTTGGTGACCAGTCTCACTATAGTTCATCTTTTATCTGCCAATGAAAGGTCTGCAATATCAATATCAAATATCACAATCTGAATGCACCACCCATGTCAAGGATGACTGGCAGAAGTTGCTCTTGGCAGAGAAGTTCTACCTCACCTAATGTAGTCCAGACATTGCACTATCCAACTATCATCTCTTCTGCTCCATGCAACATTTTTTGGATGGAAAGCAGTTTGCTGACAATGAAATGAAAATCATACTTGCAGAGTTCTGAGTTAAAATAACCTTTCATTCAGCAGGAATCTGTGACCTGCTCAATGGAGCAAGAAGATGATTGAGTGTAATGGCAATTATTTTCTTGAATAAATTATTTTTTTATTTTTGAAATAAATGTTTTACTATAAAATTTTAGAAAATTTCAGAAACTTTTGCATCAACTCAAAATCACCAAAGAAAATCATTTGCAAAATTGCTCTTTTTTTCTATTTGGATATTTCAAATTATAAAGAAAGATTAGTAAATTTGTTTTAGATAGAGAAATCCTTCATGTTGTGTCAGGTTATCCATGTTTTCAAAATATGGTTTATATATTTTTTCCTCTAGTTTTGTTTTCTGTCTCGTTATAAATCTATAATGTATTTTGTATTGCATTGTAACAATACTTTCAATTAATTAATGCTTACTTACAGAAAAATATAAAAACTTATCTTTTGAAAAAAACTGAATAAAAATTAACACAGTTGAAGAGTTTGCTACAATATGTAAAAGAAAGTTCTTAACTAATTTAATTATAGCAGACAAAAACTATTTAAACAATGCTTTTTGTAGTTTAATTAAAGAGGATTTTAAAAATTCATGTGTCAGAAAATTAGAATGATTGTCTTATCACAAGAAAAAGAACTTGGCAATAGCAGAACACTGTGAAAAATATAACTGTAATACAAATAAGAACAGAATTAAGATATCACATCACAAAGATAATATAATAAAAAGAAAAATAAAAGAACATACAGCATTAGTATTATGAATAGACAAAATTAAATAAATTTAAACAATGGATTTGAACTTAATATATTCAACCAAGATTGTGCTAAGTAGAGAGTATAGACAGAGAAAGGAACAATGGTAACAGTGAAAGATAAAGTGACATGCAAGAAGATTACTGGCAAACATTATTCAAAAAATATTTCAGACAGAAGAAATTGGACCAATTAAAAAAAAAAAACACTACAAATGTGATTGAAGATGGATGTCAGTCAATTAAGAATATGACATTAAAAATGCATTTCATCAAGTAGAAGATAATGAGGCAAGATTTTTTGGTCATTAGACTAATTGATCTGTGTATCTAATTTTGTTTAAAGATTTTAAAGAATTCCTCTGATTTTAACAGATTTTAATAAACAAAAAAAGTTACTACAAGAAACTAAATTTAAGATTAACATAAATATTCTAGTTAAAACACAGCTTATAATAGATGAAATGTTAGAAAATAATCCAAATTTAAAATCAATTGTAAGTTTTTAAGTATAGAAGTTACATATACAGTACTTAAAACATTTTATTCTAATCTCTTCAAATTTTTGTTATATTCAATAAATTTAAAATACAAAGTTTGACTAATCTAATAATTGATGTAGTAGTATAGAAACTAGCTTATTTAAGACTCATTTTTAATCAGTTTTTCACAATATCATAAACTAATTTATCTTAAAAATTTTTTATTTGTTAATATTATGTGGTATGTATTTAGTAATTTTCTTAAAATTGATCTGTTTTGTCTTTGTGTATTCTCAATAGATTATTTTTATATTTCAGTGTGATCTAGTTTTTTCATTTACAGATTAGAAATTAATGACATTAATTGGATACTTTTACAATATTTGAAATGTTAATGTGTTTATCATAATTGTTAAACACTTTAACATGATTAATTGATAAACTCACTCTCATATTCTGGTTTACCACCATCTGATTCGCAAGTAAAAAATGTCTGATGATCTTGGGCTGACAAATTCATGTCATAATAAGTTAATGGCTCTTTATTTGTCGTCCAGGAAAAACGATTATATTCAGACCCACGAAAGAGGCTAAGTGGATTACGCCATACTTTACATTCTGAAAGCAGATTTTTTTTTAATTAAAGTAATCATTAAGCATTGCATGGTTTGAAAGTTTAAATTTTACCTGGTGCTGTTTGTTGATTTCCAGTACCCCCTCCTCCATTAGAATTACCATTTTCACTAGTATTGTCACTTCCCCCTAACCAGGGAGAAATATGATTAAGAGAAACTTGCTCGATGAATGAAGTGCCATATTTTCTGAAATACCACCACTCAAAAATCTAAAATTAAATTATTTATTATACACAATATAGTTTTGTATGCAGAGTTCATTTAAAATCTCATTATCCTTAATCAAAAATAGAAATTTTAATTCTTANTCTTTTCTAACATGCATGCTGGCTGGGTGAATTTCCCTTACCACCAGACTTATGAACTCACTTATTAATAAATAGCAACTCAAGGCTTTTGTTAATAAAGTTTTTTTTACAAAATATCAGGACTAATTATATCTACAGTTGTATTAAACAAAAAAATTTAATTATATTTGATTTTATAAACATATATATTTCTCCCTTGAAATAAATGCATCAGTATTCATATTATTTTACAATAAATATCACAAATAATCATATAGACACCAGTTTTCAAGCTGTCATACAGAAATGGATCGACACATAGCTACAATTTATTTTGTGTTATTGATTTCTGTGTTTGTTATATCTAAGGAGACTTGAGAGACTCTATGTGGTGATTTCTTGTAACCGTGAACGAATCTTATCAATAGACGATCTTATCAAAAGATGAGATAAGATTAACGAGAACATTTATTAGCTTACATACATCCGACTTGGATTTTACACAAATTGCGAAATTATACCCCGACTTACGTGGTTATCGCTCGGTCCCACCTATCACGTAAGTTTGGGGTATTACTGTACATAAGATTAACATAAATGACTTTTGCTAATTTTTGAAACTAGTCACATTATTCTCTCTCTTCCCAAACTAACTTTATAAAAATAAATACAGTACTTTAGTTATCAATCAATTCTTGTATATACAGATAATATACTAATTTCTGTAAGTTGGTCTAATAAAATTTTTTCAAGTTCCAGCATGCTCACTAATGACACAGTAAACAATTAGGTACTAACTATAATACTGTAATGGGCAATAAATACACTTTATATATCAATTCAAAACTTTATTCATGTGGTTGTAAAACTTGGTTCATGCCATTAGGGATGGTCCATATATTATTTGTATGCATTTTCTTGAAATTTTTACTCCTCCCCCTTTCGTCTCAGTTTGTCCAAGTTTCCGTAACCTCCTCCCTCTTCAGAGGTCCAACAAAACTCAATCCCCTTAATACCTTTATTACTTTACAAATGATAGATACCATAAGTAGAAATGAAACATACAAGAAATTTTGAAATAAATATTGGATTGTTCAGAATGTAATTTTGTTTTTCTTCCATGGAAAAAAAAAACCATATTTTTATAATAAATAAATATTTTATTGCATTATATATCGACCATTTTGGTCAAATACCTGTTGTCATCATTTCTGGTAGTAGCATGATATCACATTCATAAAAGTTTTGATCATTGCTTACAAAAAACTGATCCAAGTGATTTTTGACATTGTCATTTCAAGTAAATGTCTTAGAGAAAAAANTATCAATATTTTAAGAATTTTTTTTTTGTACTTATTATACCTGTAAACAGGGCTGTAGAGTCATGTAAAAAAATTACCAACTCCGACTTTGCCTTACCATCTGACTCCAATTCTGACTCCAACCAGGGGAGGACTTGTTACCAAAATACACCTGGAAATTCTGAAGTCATCGCATGACCTCAGAATAATATATTCAATAAATGAGTTCTAATGAAGATAGAAACTTTTTTATTCCAAAGTTAAAAGACTCCTAATTAATAACACAGTCAATATATAAATATGTATTTGATAATTTTTACTTTCCCGCTGTTATATATAACAGAGGGAAAGTGTAGTGATCGTCAAAAAATGACCCCTCCCAAATTTTTACATTTTTGGACTCAAGACACCTTGAAATGTCAAGATATGCAAAAGATTCAATATTTTTCCTGTATTTATGGATGTTAGACTGTGGGGGGGCACAATTTTGTTCACCCTGTTTGAAAGCTTAATAACTTCTGTGGTTTTTAAATCGGAGTTGGATGGTTTAACACAGGAGTTAAGCTTCAAAGTGGTTGAACTAAATTGTGTCCCCATACATATTCTAACATTTTAACGAGTTTTACTGTACTATTATAAAATGACAAAAAGCTTAATTTTGAGGGTAGAGACAAGTTTTATTTTTTAAAAAATTGTGAACGCTAATAACGAGTAAAATATTCATTTAAATTCAACCGCACTGGAGATATGACACATTACCCTCTTCTATGCTCCACCCTGTTGACCTTTAAGAACCAAAATTTAATAGCATTAATGCCCCTTTATACACAAACTACAATGCCAAACTTCGTTTCTTAAACTTTACCCATTCTGAGATCTTGTTCAATATCTCAGAACAGAGAATAAAGAAATTAAACAAATTAGATGACAACACATGCACGTGTGCAAATTTTTCTCCTTTAATTGATATTTTTTTGGGGTTCAAAGGTCTCCAAACGTGTAATTTGCAAAAAACTTGGGGGTCAAATTTGACGATTCAAATATTTTTCCGTTTTATATACATAACAAGTTGGAAAGTATAAAGGAGTCAGAGTCATCAAAAAATCTGCCAACTCTGACTCAAACACCAAAACTCCGACTCCACAGCCGTGCTTGCAAAATTTTAAGAGAACTTTCCAGTTTACTATGATTTGCTATAACAGTAAACATCTTGAAATAAAAAATTGATATGTTAAATTTAATTTATTTTTCTTAAATAGGTGCACTGTGCATTATTTATTTATTTCATTGTGTTTCAAAATTAATGCATTGTTACTATTATTCTTACAAATTTATGATAAAAATGAAAAGTTTGATGAAGTGTGCTCAATTTTTTATTAATTAAATATGAAAATCACTTAGGAGGGCCAATGCTACTGAAAATACATGGAACATACAAAAAATAAAATTTCTTTAGACACAGGATTATTAAAACAATAGAAAATATTTTTCCAAAATTTAATTTAAAAAAAAAAAAAAATTTTTTATTTTAAAAGCATTCTTTAATGTATTTGGCAAGCATATTGATACTTTACTTTTCCAAATACAGGGTGGTTATAATTAAAGTTGCCCTACGCAGACCTGTATAGAGTCCATTCTCTTTGATGTACAGTGGTATCTTAGGATACGAAATTAATCCGTTCCGAAACTGAGATCATATCATGAAAATGTCATAAGGTGAATCATTTTTCCCTGTACAATTACATGTAAAACCAAATAATTCATTCCAACACAAAAAACACACTCAAATTAAAGCTAAGTAGTACATTAAAAAAATAACTATAGTAAGGAAAATACTGAAAAATGCATTTTGTAGTTGTAAATAACCATAATAGAATAATTAATAAAAAAAAATGTAGTTTCATTTGCACTTTACCTTTGAGGATAGACAACGGTGGAGGTGTAAACTGGTGGCGGAAGAGAGGGAGAAGGGAAATGACACTAAAATTTAACTTAATAACATAATGTAACAATAACTTAAAAATAACTTAGAAAAGAAAAAAAATTAGTGTTATTTTATTTATATATACAGTATATATATATATATATATGTTTTTTAAAATTTTTATTCACTGCTTTTTGCTTTCTTTCCTTCACTTTCCCCAGCACTTTCACTGGATAATGGTCGCTTGGTAAAATATCTATCCAAAGAGGTTTGGCTTTGCCTACTTTTTAAAATGTTTCTAAAACAACTTAGGCAAATATCATTACTCTGAGCAGCAATACAGCTAGTGTGAACCTTTCGGGATGTTTCTTTTCAATAAAATCAGTCACTTTCTGATAATACCTCAAAATTTCCTTTATCGAGTGAGATCCTTCCATGACGAAGCAAACACGCAGACTGAGACCAATTAACAGAAGTGAATAAAAAAATGGTGCTGCGAACTAATGTAATGTTGTATGGCGAGTTTTTGTTCGTATCATGGAGCAAAAATATGTTCGAATTTCATGTCGTATCCTGAAAATTTCGTATGCTGGGGCGTTCGTATCTTGAGGTACCACTGTATTTTGATAAAACTTGGTATATATGTTATATGGACCACGGAAAAAGGAAAATGCAAAAAAAATATATAGTTCAAATTTCTACCACTAGGTGAAAAATGGTGCATGAAGAACAAGAAACACAAAATGGAAACACACAAAAGGTTTTTATTCACGACATTTGTTCAATGTGCAATCCATTATTATTATATAAAATCTTGTAAGAAATTTGACAAATTTTTTTTACTAAGTATATCAAACATCACAAAACCCTATATATATATATACCCGATATATCTATATATATAAACAAAACCAAACAATTGCCTAAATAATCTGGCTATAACTCTGCTAATTTAATGATTAATACTAAGTAATTTGCTATTAGAAGTAGACATCAGGTGCCATCTCTTAACTAAATTAATAATTATAATTTTAAAAATTTATTAAATAATTTAGAACCATCTGAAAGAAAAGAAATGATCTGGGGCAGGATTTGAATCCACAACCTCTGCTTGCCATGTAGTGAGCTTGCCAATTGCACCATCTGGACCCCACACAAGCCTTCACACTTCTAGATGTATTTAAATTTTAGATATAAGGTTATAAGGATTAACTGTGTAAGTTTATATCTAAAACTTACACAAGTAAAATAGCAAAACCTATTTGGGACAAGACTGTCTTGGAGACTCACTACTAAACAGAATCGCTTTGATGCTCAAGGTGGGTCTTGTTCTCCAATCTTTTTTGGTATTGTTGATTTTGGGCACAATCGTTCAAACTTCGCTGGCCACGACCATGATGTCATTCACGATGCATTTTTGATGAAATTAACCTATCCAACTTCAAAACTTCTCTCCGTTGCATGTTGGCCTGGGTTGAATTTTTGTCGACGTGTAATGAAAATTTCCCATTTTTGAAAAAAATAATTGTNTTCATTCAGCAGGAATCTGTGACCTGCTCAATGGAGCAAGAAGATGATTGAGTGTAATGGCAATTATTTTCTTGAATAAATTATTTTTTTATTTTGCACAAACAATATACAGTTTAACCCGATTATAATGTCATCGGATATAAGACAACCCTAATATAACGTCAAATTTTTATCAGTCCCACGATTTTACTAT